GGTCTTGGCACCATGGGCATTTCGAACCAGATAATTCTTCATTGTGGGGGCGGTCCTACGCATGATGGGGTGCTTAGCAGCATCCCCGGCTTTCACCCACGAACTGTAATGGCACTCCCACCTGCGACAGCCAGAAAGATCTCCAGGCATTGCCAAATGTCCAGGGTGGCGTATGGAAGAACCATACTCGAGAGGCAGCTCGCTTACTGTGTTGCCCTTCCAAGGAAATACCTTGGTAGGTGTGAGTTTGGAGGGGTAGAGAGAAGGCAGGATTCAGGTGCACCCTGCTGATTCTGTGGAAGAATTTTTTGGAATTTCCCCCATCCTTGGAATTGCCTTGGGAGCCCATTCCTGAACATCCTGTGGGAGTAAGCCCGACTTCTTCATGCCCATAACTCATGGCTATATTCTCGGAATCACACACTTTTGGAATTAGAAAAGATCATAGAGATCAGCTAGGTTCAAATAATTATGCAATCCACCAAATATCTGAACTCCTCCAAACTCAGTGTGTTAAAGATGTTTGTCACTAGGACACTGCAGCTGTGCTGACAAGAGGTTACCAGATGCCATTTCATCGTCAAGGATTTAGAAGAGTATCTCATGCAAAGGAAAAAATCAGAGTTGCGATCACTGGGGCGCCTGGCCGGCTCAGTCGGTAGAGCATAATGACTCTTGACCTCGGTCGGGGCGTCGTGAGTTTGAGCCCCGTGTTTGGTGTAGAGTTTACTTAAAGAAACAAAGAAACAATCAAATAAATAAATGTGCCACAGCTCGCCGTGCCAGGTGCAACTGGGGGTTAGGAGGGAATGAATACTACCCATAGCAGTTCGTAAGGATGTAAAACAGACGAAAACAACCTTGAGTACGATTCGGCCAGTTTGAGTACGATTCGGCCGCAGAACTGAAAGACAGGGGTGGGGGGCTTGGAGGGGGTGTGAGACGGTGCAAGCTGACTCTGAGATCTTCAGATCTACTGCTGGCTGCCATCTCAGCATGTCTTTTTGCAAAAAGGCTCACAGCTCGGTTGCTTGGCCAAGAAAAGGAAAAACCCTTGTTTCCTTTATACAGCCTCTCTCTCTCCTGGCGACACATCCTGTATTCATTTGCCCGAGATGGTCCACTTGAGTAAAAGTAAACCAAAGGAAAGCCATTTGGAAAACAAATCACCCGGCCGTCTCCGTATTCCCTTTTCATAAACACCAGAACCATCTTCTCCTAAACAAAACACGCAACAGTTGCCACAGGATGTTTGATGGAGGAAGGGACAGGTTCAGTTTTCCCGGGGAATCTCACTTTGTTCCTTTTGGACTGTAATGCAGGGAAGTGTCGGGAGGGAGGAGTTGCCTTTTCCTGGTCTGTTTTTCTCCTACCGGGGGGACTTCCGCGGGAGCTTCCCACCCTCACCCTCTTCCCGGCCTCTCGTTCCCACTCTTGGCATGGGGTGGGGGTGGGGATGGGGATGAATTCTCTCACAGAAATCTGCTGTCTGACACCCTCCCACCTGCACAGAGTGGACAACCTCGGGGGCACAGGCTTGATCCTTCAGGGAGCCTGCCGTCAGCCAGCTGAGCCAGACCGTCTGGGTGACACTGGGCAAGTGTCTTTAAGAGCCAGCCCTTTTGGCCCCGGAAATAAAGCTCACATCCTTCAATCAGATGGTCGGCAATAAAGCTGACATCCTGAGCTCCCGGGGTCTGGTCCCCAGTGTCAATTGGGTTTGAATTCAGGAGGGGAGGAAGAGCATCTTGTTAGTTTCTTCTTAAGACCCCGACAATAGGACCTGGGTGAGAATGATTTAAATAACCATGTGAGAACACCAGCCCATTCACACCACATTCCACAACTAAAGGATCAAAGGCCGGTCAGACCTACCTTTCTGGTGCCCAGATACTGGTCGCCTAAAAGGGGAGAATGCCAGGCTGAATACAGGGATGCTATTAATTATCCAATAATGGTAAAAGAAAGCAACTTTGTCCTTTCAGGAGCAGGGAGGGTGCTCGCTGGTTTCAGGTACTGGCCCTGACGTTAGCTCGGGTGAGTCAGGCCACCTTCCTGAACCTGTTCAGCTCTGAGCGTCTCAGAGGTTCTGGTGACAAAACCAGGTATCTAAGGAAGGCCTGTAGTGTTTGTTGTGGTCGTTAATAAGTGACTGATGAGAGAAAGAACCCTGTGAAAACAAGGCAGAACAGGCGAGCCCCTAAACCGGGGCTTTCAGGTGGTAAATGCTAATATGCATTTATTCTATGGATTCCTTACAGAATGAGCCATCATTGCCTACAGGGGTCCCTAAGGAATTGAGTTTAATGAAATGATAGGAATGACTGCAATTAGAATATAATTGTGTGTACGGAAATACGCTTAGGGGAGCTTTGATAGAGTTTACGGTTGCCACATTCACCCAGAATTTTGGCCTGCGTTATTAATTTGCCCTACTATGAAGAAAGGGTTTGTTAATCAAAGATAAACTATTCCGCTGATATCGAATTAGGGAACTCCAGATCCTGTAATGAGGCAGTGCTTCGCACATACACAACTCTCTGCTAAGCGAAAGCTTTCTGGCTGGCCACATAGGAGGTCTCCTTATTGAAAGATTTATTTTTAATTTTGAACAGCTTCCCAGCATTACCCTTCATGAAAATTAAAAGAGGGAGCTGGAAGTTTGTCCTGTTCAGCAAACCGCCCGGCGGGTCTGCTCACCACGGCAGAGAAAACCTCACCGTGTCAGAGGAATCCCCCGTCCCCCGCCTTCTGCTAGATGGAAAAGAATTACACCTACATTTTTAATAAAACTTAGACTTTCTTCCCCTCCCTCTCTCGTATTGTTTTTGCACGTTTTCTTCTTCTGGAGGCTTTTTAGCCTGCCTTCTTTGCACTCCTTCGGCCTTCTGGCCTGGTAGGAGCTGACATAATCCCTTGGCCCGCATTCTTACGTATACAGAGAGTCATAGGGGTCCTCCCACAAAATCTGTGGGAGCCAAGCCTGTCCTCAGCATGTCTCCCAATGGCTATTCTCAGCCAAAGAGAATGACTTCACCTTGTACAGCTAAGGCCTCAAAAAGTCCCTTCCTACTTTTAAATCAGTTAAGAACACAAAGTAGCGATGTGTCTGAGGATACGCCACCGCCGAACATAAGAATACTGATTGAATCATAAACCAGATTCCCCAGCGGGCGCAGAGAGGCTGGCCCCGTCTAACTCAGAGACAGCAGTAGCACCAATATGTTCCCCGGGATCCACGGGCAATATTTCCAAAAAAGAACCAATAAAAAGCTGGCAAAGACAGAGTACTTGCGATGCTATCAAAACCTCCTAAATCACACCAGTCTTTGTAGAAAAGTAAAGCCGATCACCGCTAACCGTGTTCAACACCCGAAAGCGCAGAAATAAAAGACCAGAGCAAAAGCAGATGATCTGTTCACACCACGTATTTTACAAGACGGGTCACATCTGTACACTTGAAGCTACTTTCCGGTAAGATTCGCCATTCCAGCCCCAGTTTAAAACCCCCACCCGAGTCGTAACTTTGTATTTATTCTAGAGAGTTCAGGGCAAGGGGAAAAATAATGGCTTTGGAGTGGGACGCTGGAATACTTTTCACTACAGGATCAATTAATACAGATATATTTTACTTAACTATTGAGTGCACTTACTGAAACATTCATTTGAGAGGGAAGTACAGTAAGAGGTGATAGGACTGCTTGGCAATTTACAATCCTTTTCGGGCGAAGTTTGTTGTTCTTAAGGGCCTCATGAAAGGATAAGCTATCGCTCTTTTTTTTTTTTTTCCCTATTCCCCTTTAACTCGCCAGAAATAAATAACAGGGAGCCAGCAATGTGAAGCAGGTGGCAGAGACCCAGGATGGAAAATTAGCTGGAGAAAGCGTGAAAACGTTTGCAAGGGATGAGCGGGAACCAGTGGGTCAGGAGCTGCAATTTACAAACCCAGATTCGGCTTTGCTCTTTGAAACATTTTATAGATAGTCAAGACTTTGTAACAGTTCTGCAATGAACTCAGCATAAACTCTTCATGAACAGAGAATGTCTTCAAGTGGCTGAATTAGAAGAGGAAAGTGATGCGGAAAATGGGGTAAATGCACTCTCCCCCCACGTGTCAATTATGGATTCACTTAGCAAAGGGGCTGCAAACCTACTATGTGTTTTGAGGAAAATTCTGCCAAACTACACAGAGAGAGCTGCCCATTAATCTCTTCACCATCCACAGATTTACCTGATGACTCTAGTAGAGGCAGGTATACATTTTTTTTTTTAATTCAAACAAGATCAAAACATAGCCACTGATGCTTTTGTTGGAAAAGACAGCACATGCCAATATGGTGCTCTGCATTGGTAAAAAGAATTTTATAAGCCAAAATAATCTGTTAAATGCTCTGATGTCCAACCATGGGCCTTGTGATCAAAATGGCTGATATGAATCCCTGACAAGAGAAGTCCAGCATGGAGTGACCCATCTCACCGACTGTCATCCCCTTTCAATCAGACAGCGTCTTTTAATCTCATGTGATCGTCACCACTTAGCACAGGGCATGCTATGCAGTTGGGTGTCCAAAACAGTATTGGTGAACAAATGATCATTCTTCTAAGAATCTTTTGTATTACAAGGCAGCTCGCAGGATTATAATCAGATCCATGGGGTTCCACTTTAATTGTAGAAGTAAGTCTAAGTTAATTCATGGATACCTACATAAGCCCTTTATCTCTGTACATTTATTTTTTATTTTTTAAACTTTTGAAATTTTTTTTTTATTTTTGACAGAGAGGGAGAGAGAGAGAATGGGGGGCGGGCAGAGAGAGAGGGAGACACAGAATCTGAAGCAGACTCCAGGCTCTGAGGTGTCAGCACACAGCCCATTGAGGGGCTCAAACCCACGGACTATGATATCACAACCCGAGCCAAAGTCAGACACTCAACCGACTGAGCCAGCCGAGCGCCCCCTCTCTCTATTTATATCATACAATAAAGTAGATCGGATTCCTACCTGCTTGGTTGGTTGTCACGGTGACAGACACCGACTGGTCCGGGCTGGGGTTATACTTGGACACCCCATTCACGGCCCAGATTTCGAATGTATAATTGGTGTGAGCCAGGAGGTCAGTGATGGAAACTTTGGTGGTCTTCAGGCCATTCTGCTGGGGGGTATAGTGGACCCCACTTCCACAGGGTCGGCACTTGCTGGAATCACCAGCCCCACATCTCTTGCACACCACGTTGTAGGAGATGTCCTGGCGACCACCTGTGTTCTGAGGGCTGCTCCATTCCAAGTTCACGGACGTCTCATTGACGTTTGAGATCAAGTTGAGGGGAGCAGATGGTGGGCCTGGAGAAGGAAAAAAAAAAACACACACACACACATACATTATCACACCAAGAACTTAAACTATCCTTTTGGAATCTCTCCAAGTTTCTATTATTCTCTGCAGCGATGGGAAGCAAGGTGGGCCCATGTGGCAAAGAAAGCAGAAAGCCAATCAAGCCAGCGAGGAAAAAAAAAAAAAAAAATCTTTTAAAAAAAGCACACCGTGAAAGAACGCTGCTACATCGGTAACACTGACTGCTATCCTGAGACGGCGTGCATCTCGACATCAACATCAAACACGTTCCAAGTCCAGGCTTCTCTTTGAAGCGGCAGAAAAAGAAGATAGAACTTATCTGGTTTTTATCTCACCATCTGCAAACAGGCACATATGAGCGTGATTCAAGTTCCCAGGGCTAGTGTGGGACCCTGGTAGAGTCAGAGTTATGTGCCACTTCTGAAGATAAATCGGGATTCCTAAGTACAGCGCGTCCTCAATGCGGAATAAAATTAACCGAATCGTATAGACACGCCTCTTCAGCTCGGCACGGCAGTTGGGAGTTAAGCTCGTCATAGGTAATTAGTAGGAACTCGTGTAACCTGGTTGCAGCGATGTCAAAGGTAGAGTCGTTGGGAGATCCCAGCTTGGGGCAGGGATCGTGCAAAGGCTCTCAGGCCCCACGTCCTGCCCTTCAGCTAGCCAAGGCTGGACCAGGCCCTTTTCAGCTTACTCATTCCCGCTGACATCAAAGAGTTTGTGAAACATGAACGGTGGTGGTGGCTGTTTGGAAACAGAACAACTGACCGCAAACAACATAGTGGTTGGTTTTAAAGATAGCAATAAAAAAAAAAAAATAATAATAATAATAACAAGACTAGAGAGCCATGACGAACCCCCTTGTTTCTTGCCGGAGATTAGTCTTTATGTGCCAAAGAGTTGCAACGCAAACTGCCTTCAAGGAGAAGAATCTGGGTGGGAGAAGGGAGGGGATATTCCTGGACTGAGCCAGTACCAAAGGCTGGAAAGATATCTGCCCCACTCTGATGCCAAATACGTCCTCAAAGGGACATGTGGAAAGTCCTCTCTTCCTTTCTCTTCCCCATTTTGGTCTTCCAAGAAAAGAACCAGAGTGAGTTTTAATGGAAATTTCAGGTTTCTGGCTCACTCTATCTATTCTAATGTATTTGCACTGAACTCCTTTAAGGGGAATGTGACCATGTTCCTCAGGAAAAGGAAGTTAACCTCAGGAAAAGGAAGGAGGCCTGTGTGAACTGGGAAGAAGCTTTATCTAGTCAACCACAATGGACTGCGTTGTTCCAAAGTAACCACGGGGACAAAATCGAACGAGGCAACCTACTAATAAGGAGTCATACCCAATATTTATTACTCAGCTCATGCTGTTGGACTGCTAAAGGATCTTGATGGTAATGCTGAAAAAGGGTTAATCCAGGGCTTCCTGATCTCCCCTCGAGACTAATTATCAACAGCCTCTCTTAATTTTGAGATCTAGGCCCCGTCCAGTGTTGTAAAATTTGTTCTTAAAAGTAAGAGTACCCCCACAGAAGTTTGCAGAAAGAAAATACGAATTTCTTTCTTGCTGAGGTTTCATATTTATAGCTATGGTCCTTAGCTTAGTGACTGGAATATAATAAAGGTAAGTAAGTGGTTTCTGAATACGTGAACAGTTATTTAAAATCATAGTGTCCTGGAGACAGACAGGAAGTTAAAGATGATTTGGCCAAACAAATAACCTCATTTTAAAAAGACGAGGGAATTGAGATCCAGTAAGTGGACCTGATAATACTGAAATTCCATGCAACTTCATTAGTGACAGAGTCGGACTAAAACCCAAAAGTCCTGACTCCCACTCCGGGGTTATTTGCACTCCGTTATGTGGCTCCCCATAGAGGTGTAATAACAACAAAAGCAGTAGTTTCGGCCAAAGTTTAAGAGGTAAAGGTAAAAAGGGAGGGTGTATCTTCAATCCTGTTCAAATTTTATGGATGCTTGCCACCACGGTGAAATCCACTAGTAGTCTGCAGCTGAAACTTACCGCAGCTCGGTTTATAAAATGGGTCAGCCACTGGCTCTTACTTTGCTATGACTTCCAGGGTTAAATACGAGTGACTCTTAAATCCATTAACCTCCTTGCCAAGGTTCCTGATCCACTTTCACATGGGAAAATGTGACACAATGAATCAAGCAATGCAGAAGCAAAAAGTCAGTAATTAGTATGTAGGACGGGGCATGGCAGTGTCTAAACAGAGAAGAAATGGAGCAGAAAACTAACTGGTCACAGGATTCAGAGATATAACACTGCCCCATGGGAAAGAAAGGAAAACAAAACAAAACAAAAAAAGATGCTGCAGGATTTCAAAATGGAGGGCTGGGCCCCAAACAAGTGGTGGCCTGGAACAGGCTTCTCTGGGCACCGATTCTTAAAGAAGACCCTGCGGTGGATGCTAACGGGAAGACAGAGGACTAGGCAAGTTCAAGTTCAATGATGCCTCCATGAATGGTTTGGTGAATTGTACTGCATATGTTTTGTTTTGCTGCCATAGGGAGTGATGTTATATGGGCTTAAAAATTGGACTATGGTAGAGTTTTATTTTGTGGGTTTTTCTGGGGGGGAGGGGTAGCAGATAGAAAAATGCCCACCCAGTACGATAATCACGGTGTTCTGCAAAGGCCTGGGAAACAGTGCATGCTTTATAAATTAAAATCATAACGGTGGTTGTATTTTGTTTGCAGGATCGTGGTTTTCTTTCTTTCTTTGTTTTTAAACTCATGTCCATTGAAAGATGGTAAGTATATTTCCATTTATAAGGAGGTGCCCTCTTTTCCTCAGAAAAGAAAGTATTCTCAAGACAAGAAAGTATACGCTTTAATACAACCCAAAACTCCATCCAGATCCAACAGTAATACCTAATATTGATAGCAGCACCTTAACACAATTACCTGTAGAGATGGCTATAATGAAAAGAAAATAGCATTCTGAGTAACATGGGCTGTCTCAGTAGATACAAGGCATCCAGAAGGAAAAAAAAAAAAACAAAAAAAACGTAACTCAGATCATCTTGTCTTCTGTTTACATGAAGTAGTGTATCTGGATATTTGGGAACCATTAAGTTTCTGACAAGGGATTTTGCCTGTCTCGCCAGAAACAGGTCAACTTGCAAGCAAGTCTCCAATTACAAATATGAGATCTGTGGGGTGCCTGGGTGGCGCAGTCGGTTAAGCGTCCGACTTCAGCCAGGTCACGATCTCGCGGTCCGTGAGTTTGAGCCCCGCGTCGGGCTCTGGGCTGATGGCTCAGAGCCTGGAGCCTGTTTCCAATTCTGTGTCTCTCTCTCTGCCCCTCCCCCGTTCATGCTCTGTCTCTCTCTGTCCCAAAAATAAATAAACGTTGAAAAAAAAATTCTTTAAAAAAAACAAATATGAGATCTGTAACAAAACACGGTAATCATACTCTTTGTTTAAATTTTCTAGTCTCCCTATTGAGATCGCACCTACTAAGTACCTAGCCTCAGGTAGCTTATAGGTCATTATACGTTACAGGGTCTTGTCCTTTTATCCTTTCCAAAACTACCCACTACTAGCCCTTATGGAGTACCGTCAGCAATCCTACTTATGGCATCGTCCCACCGTACAGGTCACATTTATTTCTCTAACTTTGGACCACGTGACGGGGTCTTGCTGTTCAGACATACGCTGAGTTATCTGTTTCTGTCACCGGTCTATGTACTCCCCAAGAGAGCTGATGTCGTCATCGTTTCCCAGTGTCTATCTACCCTGATTCCCACTTCAGAATAAGCACAGTAAACGTTTTGAGGAGTTGACAAATGAATGAATGGCTGGATGGCAAACTAACAAAGTCCTGCAATGCACCTGAGGCCCCCTACCTACAGAGTGTGAATTCATACAGCCCTCCCTGAGCTAAAGCTGGGAGTCAGTTCTTACAGACTCATTAGCATTAAGCCCTGGAGAGGGGTATCTCAATATACCTCGTTTAATTCAAGTCCCCCTGTTCTACACTTTAAGAATACTTTGCAAAAAGGAAGTAGGGCTGTACATCATATCTTAGTGATCACTTCCGTTGGGAGGGATTGTGGACTCATTCACATGCTTATTGTTTGTTGCCTGCTCTAGAAGACAAAGGGAAAGACAAATCAGACTCATTTTGATGCTTTCCTGGATACCTGAAGAAGGAAAGGGCAGGAAATCAGGGAGAAGGAAAAGACTAAAGGAAGCTAAATATGGATGATGTGAGCAGGAGGAGGTATAGTGCAGGCCCTGGACTCACTCTCATTTTTTATATCTCCATTACCAGCCCAGCATGGCTGGGAGCTTAAAATGTGGACTCCATGGGGTGCCTGGCTGGCCCGGTAGATCATGCAACTCTTGATCTCAGGGGTTGTAAGTTCGAACCCCACGTTGAGTGTAGAGATCACTTAAAAACAAAATCTTAAAAAGATAAATTAAAAAAAAAATATGTGAGCTCCCTCAATCAAAGTTTTGTTAATTTAGGACTGGTGATTACGGCTTTCTTTCTCCATCTTGGTTCCAGCCGATGGTTTATTTGGTTCAGAAGCTGTGGGCAATTTTATACCTGAAGAAAGTTAAGTTTTACATTTTCAAAGGTAGGCTGGCATTTTCCTTAGTAGCCTTTCTAGAACCACAGTTTCCTGTACATTTTATGTTTACCATCAACATTAAGACATTTTTAAATACAAATCAATCAAATGCTGGAGTGTCGGTAGGGGGAAATAAATGTACTTCCTTTACATTTTTTTTTAACTTCTTTGGAATTCATGTATATAAGTCCCTCCACGAATGGAGGTAGAATGTCAAACTCTTTTAAACGTCTCATGTTTAGAATGTCCTTCGTGTTTGAAATATAAGTTAGTGGCATAGATAATAACTCTGCTACCAGGGCCAAAGGTCAAATGCAATAATCTTTAACTTACAAATCCATTACGACAGTATTCAACAAAACTTTCTCTGTAAAGGACCAGATAGCTAG